GGTGGGATCCGAAGGAACCTGTGGGACAGATGGGACAGGTAGTTGAGACGATTGACAGTGCATTTGCCAGTGGAGGATCTGGTTACGATACACGGAGGAGGAGCGAGATGGAAGCAGAGATGGAAGATTTGGTTAGCAGGACACGCGCGATAGTCCTTGACAACCTGGCGCTTGAAGATGAGGGTATGCGGGCGGCAGAGGTCGGAAGGATGGAAGCTGTGGCAGACATGCCCTGGCCCGAGAATGAATGAGAACCCAAAGTGACACCATCTGTCGTCTTTTGATCAGTATAGAAATCGCAGTTCTTAGTTCTGTCTGCTTTCGGTTTCAAACCCTCAGGAGATGACTTGTTGTAGGCTCGGTAAATAAAACATCTTCTCCAGAGATGGCACCGCGCTGGGAAAGTAGTAAAAAGATTGAGGGCCATGACGGTCTCCAGTAGCCTGACACGGGGGTCGAACCTGTAACCTTCAGATACCCATGCACCCGCTACACAAGGCAGGGGATCTGCAGGGAGTATAAGAGTCTGACGCTCTACCGATTGAGCTAGCCGGGCAGGCGGGGAGATCATTGATGGGATGACTCTTGTCCCGAAACTCCCGTACGCGAAAAAGTGATATGATCGATTTCTACATCACGTGACTCTACCAAGGACCCAGAATCTGCGGTGGGGTCGTCTTAAGCTTCCCACCAAAGTTAAGTCATTTTGGGTGACAAGGGAGGGGTGTTAAGACGTGAGGAAAAGAGTGTTCGGATGTGGTCACCGTGAAGTTTCCCACCGTGGAATGACTAATCCATGCGTCGTTCTCCCTTTCCTGGAAGCCTGGAAGTCAGCGTCCACCGGATTATCTTACAGTAGAAGCACACACCATAGGATCCGAAAACGATTCTCGTTCTCCCTTGGTGTCTTTGAGGTGTTTATTAAGCCTCCAATAAGCGTTCCTTGGGGGTTGTCATTCACAACGCAACTAGCCCAACGTACCATAGGGATTAGTTGAGCCTGAGTTTTCCGTTCGAGTGACTGCCGCAACGCGATGTGTGTTCTCGCCGAGACCCGACCTCCAACAAACGCCGTTGGTGAAGTGGTTATCATGCTTGCCTTCCAGTCATCTGAATATGATAGCGAGCAAGCGGGCTGGGTTCGATTCCCAGGCGGCGTACACTTTTGCCGGTCCTGTTCTTTTTTTCCACCACCTGGATCGTTCCTGAAGGTACGCGCTGGGTGTTCCAAAAGGAATGGATGGGAATAGATATGTACATTTTCACGTTCGTTAATAGCCTGGTAGTATCCAATGTTACACACAAAAAGCAAAACGGATGGAACCAAGACGCCAATAACAGGAAGAAGGGATAATTAGACGGGGAGGGAGGAATGGGGTGGGTTCCAGTTGCTGATGGGGGGATCATGAATCACCGACACCTATCACGGATGACGGCGTTGAACCAGGCGGCGATTCCTCAACTGTTTCTGTCGATAACCCGATCCCAGCGCCGGCAGCACTCGCCCGACGGTTGCGAAGACTCCCAGTCTCAGCCACGCGAGCCGTACCCCTATCCATGCTCGTGCGACGATTGTTTTGACCGAATGAATTTCGTCTGCTGTACACAGGTGATCCAAGAGAAGAGGACAAAGAGGGGGGTGGAACAGAGGGA